CGTAATACACCGGAGGATGAAACGAGTAGTGAGTTCGAACCATCGACGGACGGCATCGATCCGTCACGTTCTCTCACGCTCAAGATTCGTCTGAATCCGATGGACTTTGAATATTTCACATCAATCGTTAGGAGTGACGAAGAACAGAAGTGGCAGGCTAAATTATACGAATTGCCACCTCGTCCCGTAAGGAAAACACCTCGTGATTATATTGACGAAAGGATCCGTGATGTATTGGACGCAAAAATCAGTAATTTCGAGATTAGTTTGCTGATCATACAACTGCTGCAAGGTTTGCGTGACTATGATACACCCGCTGAGCAAACGCCAGCCGTGCAAGTTCTAAAATTTGCTCTGGATACGCTATGGTCGCTGCAATTCGGTATAGACGGTAACCGTTTGAATGGTACAGAATGTGCGACTCTAAAGGCTGCGGCTGCCAGGCTGATGTTGACGGCTCTGGAACGTGTTTTGCGAGCCGACGAACCTACCACAGCGGTGATTCACAATGGTCTGTTACCAATGACTTTGAGATTGCTAGAGAATGCCTGCAGCAAGCCAGTGAACGTGTTGGAACCGGAGGAAGGTTCGCTACTGCAGGAATTTATCTTCGCCACTATTTACGGGATCGTCACGTTCCTCTATTGCCTATTGCATCAACGTAGCGGCAATGTTGACAAGCTGTCGGACTTCCTCGAATTGTTCCGACTCTTCGTCGAGAGTCAGGATGGCAGGCTCGTCGAAAGAACGGTGTTCGCGATCGTCGATCTACCAAGTATTGATCCGGTGAAGTCGATAGTACGAGCCAAAAAGATAATCGACATAATAGGCGCATTGACCAGCGGATTGAAGAGCGTTCGTCGTGATCTCTCGCACGCCACACAATGCCACAGAACCAAGCACAAATCTTGCATCAATCACATTCAGAGTCATCATCATTCGGATGTGCTCGGAGCACCGTATTCTCAACCGATCGTTGGCATAGCTGATAAACAAGTTTGCTGTATTTCCTCGTTATTCGCGACGCTCACGAGTTTGCTGAAGGAATCTCATTTATTCGCGAGCGAGTTACAGGTGAGACTGATTGGGATAATCACCGTCGCGGGTACATGCTGTTGCTTTCCGCCGAAGATACTTGTCTCGAGCATCATCGCCTGTCTCAAAAAACGCGACTCTTCGACATACGCTCCGGCCATGGCGTTCTTAGAGCGTACTCTGTTTAGAGAACTGGGCGCGTATTCGTTGACAGACGCATGCGACACTTGTGATAAACCAGCTAATTACTCCTGGGATTTTCTGGAGTTATATGTCGATTTGCTATGCCTTGATGATCCGAAACTATGTTACGTCGTCATGGCGCATCTGCTAAAAATCACACCCTGTTCCCGGTTTCATGTTAGGGAGCAACTTCTTTTCAGCGTTTTCTATCCGACTTTTCTGCGCGCCAAGGCGCATTACATGGCCGACAAAGACAACGCAACTGCGAGGTTTCTTTTGCAATCCTGTATGTCCGTTATATCGTGTTTAATCGTGAACTTGAAAATGTGCGAGAAATTCATGGAAATAAACGGACTGCACGAAATACTGTCTCTAATAACGGACGTATCGTTCACTAGGAGCGTCTATGCTCTTTTGGAAGTCACCGTGACTGTAGAGATCTGGAAGATTTGCAAGGAACCTGACAATACAGAAAGCACCGAAGTATCGGCGACAAAGTTTCTCTTTGAAACTCTTGATAGAGAGACGAACGGATTGTTCGTCAGCTTACAGTGTCTTAAGGAACTAAGAGTGGGAGAAAAAACGGACCAGCAAGGTGAGAAGGATGCATCTAATATGCATTCTGACAATCAAGAAGTTGAGTTACCTACTCCCAAAGATTTGAGAACGGAGATTGTTGAAGCGGTTGAAGATCTTAATGATACATTTTTATCGCAACTGTCTGAAAGTGATATTTACTGCGAACAGTTAGAGAACAAGACTGATACGATAGATGTCATAGCAATTTCGAATTCACTCGAGAGGTTTCACTTTCCTAGAGAGAAAACTATCGAACTGCGCACCGATGGAGACACGTCGGATAATAAATTTAGCCTGCATCAGGCTAGTGCAGCGTGGAGAGCTGCTGCAGGAGTAGCATTGTGCAGCCCGAAATTCCGGACTGAACTGTCAATACATCCAGTATCTAGAAAATCATTGCATTTATTCAAATTATTAACTGTGAGCATCGCTACGGACAATATTGAAGGTAGGCGGAATAATAATATCTGAAAAATTTTTATTAAAAATAATTATTAAAAATTATTAATGAATCGTGTCGTATTTATTTATTTTGTTTTAGATAAATCGGCGCATAAGCTTTTCGAAGCCTTGATTACGTGCTGTCTAATATCTCCGTTGTGTAAGTGTATATGTTATGTTACAAATGCGATTAATAAAACGCATATCAAACACACCTCGATTACGTATGTATATACGTATATAGGGTAAAAAATTTCAATATGTAATGCTAAATAATTTGAAAAATGTAGAAGATGCGGAAATATGTTTCAGATAAAAGTATGGCTTGAAAAGGGGCAAATATTGATAAAATAATTTTTGAAAAAAATAATTGTTTTGAGGTCATGAAAGTACCATTTTTTAAAGATGAAATTATATGATTTTTTACATAATATGATTCTATTTATTCTGCAATGTAAAATAGAAATATTGAAAAATCAATAGTTCATGAAATATTTTATACTTTATTTCTGCACATTTTGACATAAAATATATAATAGAATATCTGATAAATTAATTTTTTGACAATCGTTCCTTTATGATAAAAATTTCGAAAAATATTAATAATTTTCGAATTATTTCATGCTTTATTCTGGCATGTATTGGTATAAAATATAAAATATCTTGTAAACTATAAATCGTATTTTAATACTTTAATGCACAAAATGATGAAATGAATCAATTAGTATAAACAAAACACATAATTGCTATGTAGTTGTATATTGCAAAATGCATAATTTTTTAAATTAGCATTCTGTTTGTAAAAGTATTAAAATACGATTTATAATTTATAAGATATTTTATACTTTATATCAATACGTGCCAGAATAAAATAATTCGAAAACTAATAATTTTTCGATATTTACCTTAATCCTTTTATATATAGAATAATTAGAGAAAATCATACATGTACATATAATGTAAAAAATTATATAATTCTATTAAAAACTGGAAATAATTTTCATATGATCGTGAAAAATTGATTTTTAAAAAATTAATTTTATTTGTGCCCTGTCAGATCATATAAGTCTATATATTTAGTCTAAAACGATTTTCTTTTTTCGAAATATTTAGATCATTTTAGACGTTTGAAATTGTTCACCCTATATAGTCGCTCATGCAGCTGTGGCGTTATAATCCGAAGATGGTTCGCGTGTTTACTCGTCAGAAAAACAGTTTAAGGATCGTAGGCAGATGCTAAACGTCATTCTTAAAATCTCGGTTGATCGTGACGTTATCTAATTACGCATGGAATTATATTAGTCATTCGCTTCATTGAAATTTATTCCATTGCCAATTTTGTGTAATGAATATTGTACGGTGTAGATGATTGTGACATAGTCATGGAATTAAGAAAAACACTAATGAATACCGGAATAATGCTTGGCCGTGGAATAGCTGTGATAGTGGACGTGGTGTTGAAGATCTCTATGTTGAAGCCAGCACAGGAAAACAGTATACAGCAGCAACCGCGTCCTAGAGTACGTCATAATTAAATTAATAATTAATGTAAATTTAAAACTTTACATTAATTGTTAAAAATTAAGAATTCTAAATATTTATTAATTTATTAGTGCAACTATTTTATAGCTTCCAACCATGTCATTGGAGACTCTACCGGATTACGGCGCGGAAGACAGTAGTACTGGCGAATACGTAACTGCTGACGACGGATATGAAGCAGATATTGAAGTGCCTGGAAAAAATACTAACAATAGCATTCCGAAAAAAAACAGCAATCTCCTTGGACCTGTAAAAGAGCCGAGAGGTCATGCCAATGCTCATCCTGCTTTATGTTCCTTGGCAATAGATCTTTTAATTCATTTCAGCGAACAGTAAGTCCTGAACACTTTTACGTGCATTAATATATAAATATTAACACACAGCACATTATAATATTTTACTTCATACCTTTATAAAATCTTTTTTTATAGAGATTTAGATTTAGAGAAAGGATCAATAATAACTAATGGATTGCGAAGAATCACTATTACTTGTCGAGAAAGTGCCTCAAGTTGTGCTGCCCTCGCGGCCTCGGGAACTATTATAAAAATATTGAATGGTTTTAAGAATGTATTTACAAATAACGATCCACGATATCGAGGTAGTTTAACATGGGAAATATATTAACATATATTCATAAAATATTAGCATACTGTATAGAGAATTTTTACAGATTTGCAGCATGCGGCACTGGAAGTTTTTACATTATTAGCGACACAATCAATTTCGCCGACGGAGCTAGTCGCATATCTGTCGTTTTTCAAAGTGAAGAAACCACCTTTGTTACCGTTGCTGGAGCCATTATATCACTTGGTGCTGACCGCACGACCTCAGCCGAATTTTATCCTGTCGTTCCCCGTGCCATATAACACAAAAACATCGCTGAAAATCCAGACGGAGGAACATAAGAATCTGGAGAAGGCCGAGAATCTCGTGAATAATTTCAAAAAGAAGCACCTTGCTGCGGGAATTTGCAGTCCATGGTCCGTACATGCAACGTGTCTACCTATCGGGCCAGAACTTGCTTGGTCAGTGTGGTTACACGGTTGTTCCGCTTCCATGTGGTTGAGGATAGAAAGAGGGTTACTAGTTGGCGGACGTGCGACTATCCACAACACTTCTCCATTACTCGATTCGGATAGTGAGAGTTTGTCAGACTGGGGTATCCTTTCTGACGACTGGAGTCGTGATGGTTAGTATAGAAAAGAAACAGTCACTAATTATGTAAAACAATTATGTTTATTATTCCTAATTTTTTGCATGTTTGTATCATTAAGATATGGGAATTTTATTTACTTGTAACAATAAGTTTCATTTCTTATTCTGATGCATTTATAAAATTGTAAAAAAAATATGGATGTCTGATTTTTCTTCTAGTTATAGCAGGTTCTGTGTCAACACCCACACCAACATCAGTAGTACATTTGATATCCATTGGGTTCGAATCGCTGGTTTTGGAAACTTGGCTCGATCTTAGATCAGGTGATTCACTCTTAAAATTTACTAATTATAAATAAAAGCTTATGCTGATATTGATTTTCATCATCATTTAGATAAATTAATCTTACGACTTACTCGACCGGACGATAAGATAAATCGAACGATCTCCGAAACTTCGATAAACGGCATGCTTCCTTCAGGATGCTGGCATCATTTGAGCTTAAACATTAAAGATACTGTCTTGAATAAGCGTAGTGCTGTGGTTGAAGTTACACTCTGGGTAAACGGTTGGAAAGAAATTAACGCTCAATTACCGTTTGACGGTTTATTAGTAAGAAAGCCTGGTACTACGTGTATTTTGTTAGGTCAAGTCGGATCGAGCAGTATTGGCGCGTGGTATCTCGGAAATTTAATGATTTTTAGGTACATTATTTTATCATTCAGTATCTAAGTAATTCATATACAGTAGATCTGTACATCTCAAATGATTATTGTTCGTAGATGTCCAGTATTTACGAAAGAACGTGCATTGCATTTGGCAGGTCTCGGACCAAATTACACCAACTTGGCAGATTGTATTCTAAATACGACAAAACCTGATTTTGCACCTCTTATTGCGTCTGGCGCATTAAATGGTATTCGCGAAGTAAAATATGGTTAGCAATACATTATTTTTAATATAGTAATCATAAATGTGTAACTGTATACTAAACAGTTTAACATTGTAGTTATATGTATTCTTAATACCTACTTTTATACATTGTAGAAGGTGGTAAATTTGATTTAAGCCGACGAAAGTCTTATGGCGGTACTTATTTGAGGCGTGCTGTCGAAACAGTAGTATCAGAATCGAAAATCGATTGGGATGCCGTTATGGATGCGACAAACTCGCAACTTAGCGAGCTGCAAGATAATTTACTTCTTAGTTACGAGGCTCAAAACCCCAATATCGTACATTTGTATCCTCAAGCTGTTGCTAATCCTGCTGGTAAGTTACTTATGATATGCTATTAACATTTTATTGTATCATAAATTATGTACTTTATTTTTTTATTGTATATTATTATTGTTGCCATAATTTTTATAGTTGTTGTAAGAAGTATTTTCCTGGGCCAACCAGGTTTTAAAGTCGTTTCGGTCCCGGAGCACAGAGTATCGCAACAACCACCTCTATCGATATCTCCACTTATGTCTACTCGTTTAGAAAGTCAGCAATATCGAGGTCTTGTGCCTGCGACAATCTTAGTGGGTGGTGTACCAGTATTTTTATATCTTTTTGCAAGAGTAAATACCTTTTTAGATTAATTAAAAAAGAAATAAAGCATCTGCATATATCTCTTCTAAACATTTATGAATCCTTGTAGGTGGTCGAATTAAACTCCACCGAGGAAGAACAAGCTTTGGCTCTGTCCATAATCTTGCATCTTGTTCGTAGCGATTCAGAACTCTTGAATCAATATCGATCAGACGGCGGGACATCACTTATTCTGCGTGTTCTAGAATCGTCTAGGTGTCACACAGGTAGACACATTCTGAAGGCGATACTGGATGCGGCATGCGATAATTCGATCATCATCAAAGATATCGGCAGCGGTAACCACTCAATCTCACAAAACTGCGAAGCTGTTATCATAGATCCGGCACTGATCAAAGGCGCACTTACCGCATGGAGAGCGTGGATGAAATATGATACATTAAATTTATTATTACAAGCGTTACTACTTTTATTGCGAGATCAACACTCGCATCGTGAATTCAATGCATCACAGTTAAACAGGGTCGGTATCGTGGATACGATTCTTACCTTGTGTAAGGTAAATAAAACAATCTGTATATTAAAATACATACAATAAAATATACATCAATTTATATATTTTTTAATAACATCTCTTATCTTTTGAAGGAACATTTCATGTATGAAATGCATGAAGAAGAAAGTACCATATTGAGTTCGAATACCGGAATCGCTATTGTGGAACTGATGCGCGCCTTAATGGGTGCACCGCCGGAATTTGCTCACTTAGTCGCCATCACCGATTATCTGGTTCTCATTCATCAAGCCTCGGAGACTTACGTCACTCATTCGCGACACAATATTTATTTTATGTTGCCGCAACTCAAGGAGAAGGATACGAATTCGAAAAGGAATGATAATGTCATTTCTAATGATTTGATAGGTATAGTGGGGAACAGTAAATTAAACAAGGCATTGACAAATGAACAGGTATGACCTTTGCAATATAAAATTTCTTTGATTGCAAACATTACATGAATATTACAATATTTAAATTATTCGCTTTTCTAGATTCAAAAATCACGAAGTCCTAAAAAAAAAGATCGTAAAAATGTGCTGTCATCAGATAATATTAGTGCCGGAGAAGATTCCGGAATTGCAGGTAGTGATGGATCCAATCCTCTAAGCAACGTATGTATAATGAAAAATGTAAAATCTTTATATTGTATAATATTGTATAATTTTACATATTATTTATTTGAATCTTGCATTATTATGTATTTAGGACAAACAGTCAACATACGTGGATGAAAGAAGAGCGTGTCAGGGCTTAATCTGCGAGGGGCTGTTATTACTATTGAGAGATGCTGTAAGAGTGTTACCAGACTGTCAAGTTGGATTAGTGTTGAAGCATGTTTTAAGAGCTGAATTGCTATTAGTTTTAGCTAATGATCCCGATTCTCGTGTACGCACAGCGTTGATTAAGGTAAATAATTTCTTAGTGCAATATATACCGCATAAAATTTCTACTAAGACGCGGAGCGAATGAAATGTTTCATCAGTACCTCATGGTATTTTACAGGTGGTACAAACCTATCTACAACGCGCTAGCGATGAGGAAGTTAATAAATTTATAAAACACAAGTATTTCATGCATTTAGGAAATCAAATAGCTTTATATCCCGGAAGCGAATCGTTGATTGTCGCTTTAGAAAATTTAGCTCTACGAGGTCCAACATTGGCGGCGATGCCACCGTTAATGGCAATGATTGCAAAGGCCGCAGGTTCTGATTCGAACGTAGCCAGACCAATAATATCATTTATCACTGACATAATAGCAAAGGTATTGGAAATGAAAAACACGATAACGAATCTGACATATGACCATACAAATTATTTGTCATTATTTCAGAATACAAATGCATTGAAGGTACTTTTGGAGCAAGGTTTGATTGAGTCATTGGCACAAGCTTTGGTTGCAGCTGTGCATAAAGGTACCTCGACATCCCTTCATCGAGACATCCACGTACTATTCGTGGCAATCGCGAGTAAGCTTTTAGAATTACCGGGAATTCATCAAATGCAAGCGATACTAGATTTACACTTGATACTCGATTACATGGAATTATCGGAGAAGTTACGATATCGCGCAAGTTTGACTTGCACGATCGTAAGAGACGCTCAAGTAGCATTATTCGACGGAGAGTTAGATGTACTCTTGACTAAAATGTCGAATCCTTCGGGATTCCGTCTACGTAGCACGGCTTCCTACTTGGCTTCAGCGTCTTACTTTACTTCAGGTAATTACAACGCGTGAAAGTTTTCGACGCTTGTGTATTTACACATAAAAAATTCTTCCAGTTCTCACGACGTCCAGTGAGCAGAGCGATCATGGATCCCGTTCGTCTAGTTATGCGAATCTTCATACAAATTCGTCTCCTGTATTGCGTGAACCTAGCAAGGGAGAACTGAATGATCGTTTTCGTATTATTGTGACACGTGCCGTTGAATTTATAATGGCCGCTGACGCATCACCATCCATCAGTGAATTGCAACTAACGAGAAGGCTGTTTTCGATTCTTTTGCATGGACTATGCAATCCGCTGGAGAAAAAAAATCACTGGAGTAATACGTGGTCCGTCAAATCAGCTTTAAGAAAATATACGGCTAGAATTATGGTGTGGTTGTTAGAGCCACATCAGAGTATCAATACAAGAATTTATGCCATCAGATCTCTAATGGAAGAACCGAGAGCTCGTGAAATTTTGTCGTGTATTCTGGAAGTTCATCCACAGGTATTTACATTAATTTGTGTAATATATCTCTCCATTTTATTTTACAGTAAAATGTAAAATTATCTATCTATATTGAAATATGAGTTTTTGAAATAAGTTTTGACGACTTACTATTGTCTCACCATATCCTTTCACACATATAATTTTTAATTTTCCAATCAATTGCTCATATATTGAAACAAAAGTTCATAGCGCTACGAACTTTTGTTTCAATTCGATAAAATCGAAATTTATGTTTAGCTGGAGCAAAAGTTTACCGTGTTCTTCTGGGATCTATTGCAAAAACGGGATGAAATGCCAAGTGCCGATGCTAGAGTATGTGCAGAATTGAAAGAAGCTCTGCATGTATGGAATCTCGCCCAAGGAATTGAACAAGCTAATCCTGAAATATGGAATGACGAATTAGCTGTGTTACGTCGAGATGTGCATCCGGATCAGGATATTTGTATCGACAATTATCCTGCCATTTTAAGGTAAACGCATATTTATTTCAAAAGTTAGCGTACGTTTTGTTAAAAAATTAATAAAACGATGTAATTTTATGCTAGAATTGGCAAGAGATTCGATGCGCTAGCAAAACAATTAACCGAAAGCGCTATGACTATAACGCGTTCGGTTGTGGAGGAACAAAATCGTGAACGAAAGGTATTGATGGAGCAATTGAAACACTCGCGAGCATTAGAAGCTCAGGCAGTTGCTAGATGGAGAGACATAGCCAAACGAATAACTCACGAACGGGCACCATGGCATTTTTCTGAGAGCTACCCCAAAAATTGGGAATTGGATCCAACTGAAGGTCCTGCGAGAGTCAGAATAAGACTTCAGAGATGTCACTTGAATATTGACAAGAGATTCCTTTTGTCTGAATATCAAGATAAATTAGGTATATTTACATCAAAATAAATATTATAAAATATTACAGAAAGCATTCAGAGATTGTCTTTTAAGTGAATGCAATTTCCTAATTAACATTTAATACATGCAAAGAAATTTAATAGAGAAACTCACATTTTAATCTTAAATTTTATATTTTATAGCGTCTTCTAATATCGAGATGCCATTATCGTACTTATTTACAAGTGTTCGTGAAGACTCTAATACCGCGACTCTGATCGAACGGTTGCATACAAGTGAAAAAATACGTAAGATGTCTCAGGCAAAAGTTGTTACACCTAGAGCTGAATTAGCTGGAGAAGTTCTCATAAGCGAGACGTGCGTGTATTTCGTTCCGGATAATCCCGATACGCCATTGCATACGGACGTGAGTCATCCCTTTAATTTTTAGAAGTACAATTTCACAATTAATTAATAAAACTTCTTAATCATTGTTAATTATAGATAGCATTGGGTGGTTTCGATTTGGCTGTGGCTGGTGGTACTGTTTGGCGTCTCGAGGATATTCGAGAATTGCACAGAAGAAGATATCAATTGCAAGAGAGGGCTATCGAAATCTTTCTCATTACTGGCAGAACATATCTGTTAGCATTCAATTCATCCAAGGAAAGGGACGAGTTTGCGACGGAATTGTCCGCTTGCAATTTACCTAGACGAATCCCTGGCGATGACTTAGGAGAAGCTCTAGCTTTATGGAGAAGTGGCGCACTCACCAATTGGGAATATATAACTTGCTTGAATAAATTGGCAGGTCGTTCATATAATGACTTAATGCAATATCCCGTGTTCCCGTTTGTTTTGGCAGACTATGTCAGCGAGAAGATTGATTTGAACAATCCGAAAATTTATCGGTAAATAATGGAAAATATGCAGCATGTACATTCTCGAATATATACGCGAATACACTTGTATATTTTACAGGAATTTCAAACGACCGATGGCTGTGCAAGATAAAAAGAACGAACAACATTACATAAATAATTATAATGTAAGCCATTAAAAATAATAATAATAATTATTATTATTGTGTTTTTAGCATCACTAATAAATTTCTTTTACACAGTACTTGAAACAAACTTTAACAGAAGGATTAAATTTAATTGCCTTAAATCAAGGACCATTCCATTATGGCTCTCATTATAGTAATTCTGGAACTGTATTACACTTTTTGGTACGGCTTCCACCGTTTACTAGCATGTTTCTTTGTTATCAAGGTATTATAAAAATTATTCTTTTATAATGACATTTATTGAAAAATTAATTATTTTCATAAATTTGTTTACTTTTAGATAATAATTTTGATATTCCTGACCGAACGTTCCATGCGTTAGCTACCACATGGAGATTAACTAGTTGTGATTCAACAACAGATGTAAAGGAACTGATACCAGAATTTTTCTATTTACCTGAATTTTTATTAAATTTCGAAGGTAAATCCGAGTATATTGCAATTAACCTTGAGAAAAATAACATCCACATAAATTAATGTAAATTCATATATGTTGCAGGATTCAATTTCGGTGTTCGACAAAATGGTAGTAAAGTTGGAGATGTTGAATTACCGAAATGGTGCGGCGGCGACGCGCGACTATTTATATTGGCTCATAGAGCCGCGTTGGAATCCGACATCGTGAGGGAAGTATTGCCATATTGGATCGATCTCGTCTTTGGATTCAGACAAACAGGAAGACCGGCGATAGAGGCCATAAATGTTTTTCATCCCGCAGTACGTATTCTTACATTATCACAGCATAACTTTGAACAATTAAATATTAATATTAATAATATCATTCTTTATATTTAGACTTATTACGGATTCGACGTAGAACAGATAACCGATCCTTTAGAACGTCAGGCTTGGGAAACCATGGTACGAACATATGGTCAAACACCTGCGCAACTATTCAGAGCTTCTCATCCAATGATTCAAAATCTTGGCAATATAACATTATCTAATCAAATACCGCAGGTTATTGAAGGGATCAGTGGTAATTATCTTCCCTGTAGCTTTCTATGGTTTAAACTGTCAATCTATATTAGCGATAATTCAAAATATATGTATTACATAAATTCATTAAATGTTACAACTGTCTGATGTAATCGTAGGTATAAAATGGGGAAATTATGTTGGCGCGCCCGGTAATGAGCCTATATTGTGTTGGAAACTTAAGCACAAAACTCCATTAGCTTCTTTAGTTCCTTTGGCAACTGGTGACGTTTTTGGTTTGCCTAATTATACCACGCTTCTCCTTGGTTACACCAAAGAAAAAGGTTATTGATTTATATCGCGAGTATACTATAATGTTTTCTTATAAAACTCAAAGCTTTAAATCTAGTAGAATGAAAACCTCTTTTGTGTTATTAGGCAGCAGCATGTTAAGCGGTATGTCTGTATTGGGTGTTGCATTAGCATCATGGAGCAGCACAGATGGAATCGCTAGATTAAAATGTAAGAAAGAACAACCGCCAAGGCCTCTAATTAAATCTTCAGGTCTTGATCCCGTAAGTGTCTTAATATACATTTTATAATTAATAAGATTCAAGAATTAAATAATAATAAAAGAAGAAAACAACTTCTTAATACAGCAAGATTATTAGCGAAATTATTATTTCTTCTCTAAAATAAAACATTTAATATACAATGTTCAATTGTTTTTTTTTTTAGATTACGACGTTGGCATCTACTCCTGATTGCGGGCAACTTTGGATTGGACATTTATCAGGCAGAATCACAGTACACGCATATACTATAGGAACTGCGGGTAAAATCGAATTCAGTTCAACATCTGCGACAGTACTTCTAGCTCATAACAATCGAGTGACAGTGATATCTCTATCACGTACATTTAGCATTGCTTGTTCCGGTGATGGCAGTAGTGTCATTATTATTTGGGACTTGAATAGGTATATATGATAGAAAAATAAATTCTACAATATTTAAGCATAGAAAGAAGAAGTTACATATTTATATGAGTTCATATTTGTGTATTTTTATTTTGGAACAGCTTAACGTATATAAGATCAATAGTCTGTGATCAAGGTTACGCTATACATCTCCTGTGTATTAGTGAAACACTTGGAGATGTTGCTGCTACTTATGACATTCCTAGATCAGAGGACAACGCGACCAACAATCAGTCCGAATTAACAGTGCACACTATAAATGCGAGGGCTGTGGGCTCTATTTTATCCAGACGAGGTGTAACGGCACTTTGTTACAGTAACGCACCAGAAGGTATTTCTGTCAATGTTATCGCAACTGGTTTAGACAACGGAATAATAAGGTACGATGAAAATATTATTTAATTATTTTAAATCTACGAACAATTATTGGAAGTGTTTTTGATGATATAGATTATGGAGCAGTTGGGACCTGCAGTTAGTCAGAGAAATTTCGACTAACGTGAGAGATTGTGGTGCAATAATCGCTGTAGCATGGTCTCTGGATCAGCATCATTTATACGCAGTTACGGAAGACTTTACCGTTCTCATTTGGGAAGGATCTAAGCGTCTCAGCAACGGCACTCCGAAATTTGTCAATTTAACATCATACTGACTTGTAGACTCATTACTCAAATAATTTAAAAGCGATACAGAAATGGACGAACTGAGAAGACAACTTATATATCGAGAAAGAGATTTTGATTGGAAATATAAACATGACTTTATGTTTTATATTACACTCGCAATGTTTATCCTAACGTGTAGCTTTTTTATGTCTTTTCTTAATGATTTATTGATGTAGTTCTTTCAGTTTTGTCATTCTGTCATTACTTAAAAATCAATATATTCATTTCAGTTAATCGTGCTCATCTTTTTATCTTTTTATTTATATATATAGTCATAATCATCATGACATGTACTGAAGAAAAAATGAACAATGCGATGAAGTATTATTTTAATAGACTCTCCCGATATAATGATTATACTCGTAATTATATATCCCCCATTATATTTTTATATAAACTTTTATATTGGATCATATAGTATGTATTCATATAGATTGTATATCTCTTTGTTTTCAAAAATGTAATTTATATACATAAATTTTTATAGAATAACATAAAACATAGCAACAAAGATGCATTTACACAAACTACTCATTTTTCCAATGTTTGCATTCTTCCTAGTGATATTTCTATGCAAATATATGTATATATGTATATCAAATAAATCTTTACTGCAATAAAATATACTGATATCTCTTTTATCCAACTACTTAACCAAATACTTAATTGCTTACCTTAAATCTCATTTAGGCAGGGTTCAATTATTTCAAACATGGGATAATTTTTGGTCGTCCTTCTTGCGATTTGATCTGCTGTGTCTCCACTTGAGTTAACCAGGTAGGGATTTGTGTCAGGATGTAAGAGAAGAAGCTGGAGAGCAGGAGAGTTGTATGAACTAGCGGCAATTAAATGTAAAGGTGTTTGATCTCCTTTGCTTGTTGCATTAACATCTGCTCCATTTGCGATTAAAGCTTCGGCGCATTTTGTGTTGTTCCAACAGCATGCAGAATGTAGAGGTTGCCATTCATCTTGAGTTTTAGCATCTATTCTAGCCCCTGCTTCAAGTAGATACTGTTGGAACAGAGCCAGGATCACTTAGATAATTTTATAAATACTAAGGAAAAGAAACAATTGTTTTAAACTTACCTCCACCACTTCCACATTGTTGCCATAACATGCCCTGTGAAGCGGAGTATAGCCGTCCTTATCGGTACAATTGAGTAAGTGGCGATTTTTGTTCAATAAATTCTTAATATTTTCCAGATTTCCCTCTTCAGCAGCGTTCAACATGGCCTTTGCATCAGGTTCTACAGTGAAAAGGAAACGTAATAAAAATACAAAATTAATTTGATAGAAAATTCTTTAACAGAAAATGTTTTGAAGTTATAGACACATAGTTTTATTTCCTTCGATTATCGTGAATGCAATTAGTTTTTGAATTTCAAGTGGAGAATCCAATCAAAATCCTAACCTCTCGCATTACGTTCTGCTTCTACACCATCATCGTCGTCCTCCCAAGCGCTCACTTGCATACGCTTGCTATGTGGGCTGCTAAGAACCTTATCGCGTATCGCCTCCAAGTCTTGCAGTTCGTCATTCTCCTCGTCCGATGACATGCTCATTCAGTCCTACCTAAGCGGATGAATTTTTTAATTCATCAATTAATCAATCGCTATGCGCAAATGTAATTATGTTTCATAAGGACTCCGCACAATAAAAGGAACAGAGAATAAGAATTTCAACCTATCAGAAATCATGTATTGTGGAATACAGTTTCTGATAGGTAATTCTTATTCTGTTCTCTGTTCTTTGTTTTTTTTATTGTGCAGAGTCTCTAAAAGTTGCATTTGCGTATAATGCGATTGATCAATTGATGAATTAAAAACTTTCTCATCATAACAGCTACGATAGATACTATAGACGGCGATTGACAATTCACTTCACTAAATTGTTAATAATCATGAGCCCGTTCTTTTTGACTGAACTTTTGTACCAGTTCGTTTTTCTCCTCTTCTTTCCTGGGGAGAAAAGGAAGAAAAATGTAACTAGTGCAAAAGTTCAGTCAAAAAGAATAGGCGTATGGTTAACACACTTATTCTAATTCTAATTTATGGTCTGTTTTCTGTTACTGCATTAGCACTCTCTTTCAATAAATATCAAACATATACCTGTCTTATTTCAAATTCCAAAAGTGTTCAGCCACAGAAAACAGACCTTTAATATGACACTCGTATATGTACACTATCGCCAGTACATCCATTTTCAGTTTAGAAATTACGTGACTACATATATTTTCTGACACTATCGATAAAATCGCATCGTCGAAAGTAGATGTGGTTTATCTCTGTACTAAATTCTCAGGATAGAAGCGTGCTGATCATCCATAGGAGGGCCCTTAAATGAAACAATTTTAATTTCGCATCTTCTACATATATAAATAAAAGTTGTTGAATTTTAATAAACGAAATTGAAAATTCAAACAAGTTAATTTAGTGAATTTTATTTTGTCTTATATAATATTTATCTTATAATATCTTATAAAATTACGAAGTTATGTTTCTTTATGCAAATTCTCAGTTGTATTTTATGAATATTATAATATATAAGACAAAATTCACTAAATTAACTTATTTGAATTTTTAATTTCATTTATTAAAACGTATCGTATTATATTTAGCATTCTTCGCGTAAGACTTCAAAAAGTAATGTATAAAAAAGTGGCACGCAACACGGATACCTCCCTGTATGAGCTTCGGGAAAGGAATAACTGTGCAGTAACTACGGTCTACGCGTAATATGACGCGCCGCCCCGTGCCACCCTGTGCCTACCACCCCCCCCCCCACCTCAAGATCGCGCGTCAACTTTCTATCGAAATATTAACGCGTATTACGAAGTAAGTAAAATAATATATTCTTAAATTCTTTACATTATTAATGTTTTCGGCTTTGTTGCACGGTTTTTTCTTTATTTCTTAGATTCATTATGCACATACGCAGCTCATGAATATCTCAATTTAATTGTGTTATAATAAGTGATTATTATAGTTTGTAATAAAAATATTATATATATATATATGGATATATTTTGTATATATAATTATAATATAATTATATATAAAATATTTTTCCTGGGAACTTTATGTTATACAAAATCCGCGTAGTGTATTTTTAATTAAAAATTGATGCCTTGCTATCTTTTTGTTATTTTTTAATTACTGAATTCTGTCATTTATGTATTATTCTAAAAATAAAAAAATTATTTTCAAGTATTCATTATATACATATTTTAAATAATTATACTTCTGACTTATTTCTGATTTAATATTTTAAGTTTCCAGAAACTATTTTATATTTTATATTTTAGAAAGTCATATCAGTTTTTTTATCAATTCCTATCCGACTTTATATTTTAAATAAGTTTCTGGAACTTATTTTATATATTTTTTGTAAATAATTCGTAGTAGTTATTTTACCGAACTGAAATTAAAAATGATGAGCATTATATACGTAAGTTTAAAGAATTTTTGTAACACACAATAATTTGCAGTAATAGTAGTGTCTTAAATTAATTTATTAATTGAAAAATTAAATAATGATTAACAAGATATTTAGTACTTTTAGCCAAAGCTGTATTTAATACAAATTGTTTTATGATATTAAGAAAATTTGAACGTATCTTTATATAAAGAACATACATATGTATATAAAATATTTTATCAACCTTTATTTAAATATGAATTATTAAAAAGAACAATGAAAATTGAGACATAATGTTGAAATATCAAAAATATCCTACGCAAATAATTACTAATTACTAATTACTTTAAAAGAATCATGCAAGTAATATAAGATTGTGCCAGAGATGCCACAAAGCAAAACGCGAATGTACAAATAAAATGAATAAACCGTGAATATTTTTCAAAACGCGACAGTTAGATGTTTAAACGGTGAACAGCGAGAAGTAAGGAGCGTGTCACGTGGCAAACATGGTGGGGGAGCGTGTCGCGCGGCGTAGTAGTTGGCTACGTCATCACTTCGGCATTCGCTCGGCGACCTCGGAAGCAGATGGATGTGTTTCGCGAATCGCTCCGCGTGTCGATAATTAATGAAAATTAGATATCTACGAACGTGAATTACGTAAGGTTTTTGTTTTATTTCTTAGATTCATTACGTACATACATAGCTTATGAATATTTTAGATATTTCATGTATTCTCACGGTATAAAAATGAGATTCTTATTGTTAGATATTTTAAATTGTGGCTTTTTATCACTTTAAATCATATAATTCTGTCATTTTCGTGTTACTCCGCGTTCTTATGATACGGGAAAAGTAGAAACAGATAAATGATATTTAAATTACATATCTCTAAATGCAAATTAAATATCTCTGTATGTGCATGCTATTTATACGTATTAGTCAAAATTGTTTTATAATTTAAAATAAATTTTTGCATTTATCTTTATTTAAAGAATAACATATATGATATATTGTTAATCTTTATTTAATTGTAAATCACAAAAAAGAGCAATAAAAATTGAGATATAATATTGGGATGTCAAGAATACTTCACGTGAGCAATGTAAGAAAACCACGGTAAAAATTTCTTTTTACTTCTTGCCTTTTGTCAGCATTGTAATTGATACGAAATATTTAAAATTATAAAATGAACATCAAATATGTTCCTTGGTGTATTACAATATGATACTACATTAAATGACTCGCGACGTTAAAACTAGATACATACAAGAAATTGTTTCATTAATCGGAAAACATTAAAAATGTAAAGAATATTTTATTTTACGTCGTAATATACGTTAATATTTCGACGGTTCGACGGTTAGACGGTTGGCGCGACCTTGTGTTGAGGATGGTACGGGGTGGCACCGAGCGGCGCGTCATGTTTACGTTTACGCGTAGTTACTGCGCGGTCCCTTACTGCGATTCTGAGAAATAAGTAATCGTGTCGCATGCGGCTGTTTTTCATTACGTTTTGAAATCTTATCGCAAAGAATGCCAAATATAATACGAAACGTTGTACTTTGAATGAATAATTAATCATACTAGTAATCGTATTATATGAATATTCATAAAATACAACATTTTGTATTATATTTAGCACTTTTTGCGATTATTATAAGTTTCAAAAAGAAATGTGAAGAAGAGCGACACGCGACACGGCTACTTGTCTGTATGAACGGTATCACACGAGTCATAAAAAAGTAACGTTAATATGACTACTCTCATGCAAATAACGCAATTCCTGCTTTCACAATTAATATAGTTTAATAATTTTTTGTTTTGCTGCATCTTTCATTATACGATCCGTTTAAAAATTAAACTTAACTTTGAAACTATTTATCGATAATAAAAGAAACGTTTCTCTTTTTATTAATCTCTAGCCAATTTTATTGACTCTAATCATATCTTATTCTAATTATCTCGTCGCCGATTTACTTGAAAATGAACGAACCGCAGCCGGTTCGTCGCGTCGCGCATTTGCATCGGGAGTGCCGTTTAAGTTATCGAACTCAAGTTAGAGTCCGCGTGCGATTATAGTGTATTATTCGCGAGTGTTTTACGCAAGTGTCCTGTGCGAGAGGATGTCAATCCTATTCTGAGAGGAGGAGGAGGTCTGGGAGAGACATCAGGCACCGGCGGAGCAACCTTACGGTAAATATTATTTTTTACTTACGTAATATCTGTATCCTTCTTTTTTTAAATTTATTCTTCAACAGTTTCATCTTAATGATTTAAATATGATAATTAGAATAAAAGGATTATTTTAAAATTATTTTGAAACTTTATAAACATGTTTTAAGAAAATGTATAATTATTTTTATAAATATAATTGAATGATGAATTAAAAAATTTAATGCTTATAAAAATTATATATTATATATATTTTGAATATTATATGATGTTATTTTTAAGAGAACTTTGCATTTAGTAAATATTTTTTGAAATATTGGTTGATTTTTTTACTCTGTTTTAATTTGGATTTCCTATTCTTTTTGTTACAGAATCATCGTAGCTACGTTGCTGATATAACTCCGCTGTTGTACATCGAATTGGTGAGTGATAAATTAATGTTTTTATTGGGGTAACGGATGTGTGATAATTTTATTAATTATTACATATCTATAGATGCATATGCATCAATTTATTAAAAATATATGAATATACTGTATGTACAGCATTCCATACATCCGTTGCCTTAAAATGGATAAATAATAATAGATTGGGATAAAAACTTAATCCTGAATACTTCTTTATTATATGGAATTTATTATGCATGCACTGTTAAATTTATAATGTCACGTTACACCCACTCAGTAAAAAGTTTTTCATACATGAATGTGTATAAATATGTATATACTATTTGTTTTTAAAAAAATCAAGTTTGAAGAAATGTAAAAAAATTAATTATGCATAATTATATATAAAATTATGTATAATTGTGTATGAGCATTTTTTTTACATTTTTCCTTGTTATTTTTCTTGAAACGAACAATGCGAAAATTAGCCTTTAATTATTTTTAATATTTTTACTATTATTATTTCTATTACACTAAAAAGTAATTTTACAAAAGAAAAAGAGATGTATGAACATGTATGGATGTATTTCGTATACGATTATATATGTTTATGAATATTTATGTATGTTTATACATATTTATATATATTTATGCAAGAAAAATTTTTTACCAGGGCACTTTAAATTATTTCTAATTATTATTAAATTTAACTTAAATTTTGTATACTAATTGTAAATTCATACGTGTTAAAGTGAACATTTTGTTATTAAATAATTTAATCACAAAAGTAACAATAAAAAATAGGTTTTTTCGATGATTCGTTTTTATATTAAAATAATACATCTTGGAAGTTAAAACGAAAAAGGATAAAATTTGTATTTTTGAAATATATAAAATAATTTAAAAAATAAATTAAAAAATATAAAGCTTATATAAAATAATAATTAGAGTATATTAAATTATTTGCTATGGATATCGTTATATACAAAAGTATTTATTACAGTTTAATAAATATTATATTGTTTTCTTATTTTTCCTATTCTCAAATGTTCATTCAGGATTAAGTTTTATACAAGTTGGTGCAGAAAAGCAATATCTATACATTATATATACTTATATGTATATACATATAACTATAATATGAACTATTTTTTAAGAAATTCCTTCTTTTTTCACACTTATTTGTATATATCTTATTAATAAAATGATAACAAAAATTATA